TCCTTAAATGCTGGTAATGGAATATACCCTTTGGTGGAGTTGAGCAGGACTAAGATGTTGAAATTCATACATTGACATTTTGACATTTGTTGCCAACAAAATTCCATATAGCAAGGGAGAGACTTTTAGCATCGTCAAAGAACATTCCCACAAAAACCACAAAAACCAGTACAAAGTTATAAGCATATTGGAAGATGTGGGTTTTGCAGCCTTGCAGCTGATACAAGTAGGCCGTATATAGATTGAAGGGTAAGCGGTCCTGAAGTTTATTCACTCATAAGCCTTGCTAATATCAAGCGACGACAAAGCAACCTGCGTGTGTGCTCTTATTTCACTGTTGATTACCATGGAGAGTTCATTAGCGCACATGTTGATCGAGTTTTATCTTTGATATGTGGAAGAACGAGGTGGTACGATAATGCGGTTCGATTTGCGGGTATTGATATCATCATGGCTTTTGTCAGACTTCAATAAATCCTCCACTCTTTAAGGAAGATGTTTGTTGCAAGAAAGGCTAGTCGACTTTTAACTGAAAGGGCCCTAATCATATCGTTTTTGATACCGTCGCAATCAGCAGAGAGTTTTTTTTTTCGAGAGCAAAACGCTTGAGAAATCGCTTGGTATGGTGATTTTGTTCGCTCAATGAGAGAGAGCAGGAAGCACGAAGGAGCTGCTACCAGGTATATGATATTTAAGGAGGGCTTTATTATTTTTTGGGGAGTTATCTGGAACACAGAGTTCATAACTGTTTGTTGATAACAGTTTCTGTGTCGTGGGGACTGCGAACTGAAGGGTGTGGGATTTAACCTTGGTTATTTTGCTACAACTCCATGGAATAAAGATCTTATTGACCCCTTAATGCATGTCTCTAACGTCCTCAGCCGGGGAAGCTGAGATGAGAGCAAGGAACTTGCCGGCGTATTTATTTGAATCCAGAGAGTGTTTCTCTCGGAACATTTGAAAGGTTTGTTTTCATTTGTCATTATCTTACTGACTTCATCTCCTTTGTTCGTTGTCGGACAAATTTTGCTCAGTGTATTGTGGCAGGAAAAGTCACACAGGAAACATTTATTAGTGTTTCTTTCTTTCTCGGATCGGAATCGATGAGAAACCATTTTTCTTAATGAAATCAGTATTACAGTGGGCGGGTATATTGGGCACAATGTCAAATCTTTCAGTGAAGGATCTGGGAATCTATGCTTTTCACAAATGTGCAGAATTTTTTCATTATTTTTATATATATGTTATTCATACACCGATGATATCACTAATACTTCTTTCCAAATACAACGAACGAGAAGACCAACTCGTTACGAAAGCAAGAAGTGACATTATTGTCCAATAGCGAGATATTAATTATGTATCTTTTAGTTAACTAACACGTACCTTGAGAACCAGTTGATTGATAGTTACGTATGGGTTTCGGCGATCGATCTTTATTTTGAAAAAATAATGAGAATATAAGAGGTAAATTTGAAGTCCGTTTCTTCACAACGGCACAATCAATTAAATGGAGTATAATGGTTTCACATCCCGCATTTTAGTCTTAAACTATGTATTTTTCGTTGCTACAAATGTTTCTCTCTGATCTCTGTCATTTGAACCCTTAATTTTCTAATTTTATAAATGTAAAAAGTCACCTTACAGTGAATAATTCGCTTCTTTTTTTTGTTGACATTAGCACGTATTTCTCATGTGCTTGTTTACAAGTCACTAAAGCAAAACAAATCAATGAAAATGGCTCATGTAGAGTTTCACGAAAATTTCCGTCTAATTGTCGAAAAAATCTTTAATAATTGGCAAAATCTTCGTTTAGCCGTTGAGCATGGCATGGGAGGAAGGAATGGCCAACAAGTAGTTCTTAATCTTTGATATGTTGCGAATTTAATCACTAGCGCATCCTCTTCTACAGGTGGCTATAGAGATTGTCGACTACATTTACAAATATTGTATGGGTAATGAGAATATATCAGAGGGAGAGTTACAACAGGTGCTTGAAGAACTGATGGACGAAGAATTCAACACGATTTGTGAAGATGGTTCCATAATAGGTGGTTTTTGAAACATTTTTATCTGTGCATTTCAGACGACTAACCTTCACATTTTTAACAGAAATTTGCCGACATTTGTTAAGGTATAAACAAATGAGTTTGCGAGGCCAATATGATGAAATTGAAAGCGAGCTCACTAAACTGCCTTTAGACAAAGAATGGTTGAATCCAAATGTAAAAATTACATATGCACCAGCTGACGTTGATTCATCTTCCGAAGATGAGGCAACTAACACCGGGGACGATGACGACACGGATGACATGGAAGTCGATCAGGAGGACAAAACTGACAGTGTTCTTAATTGCCCATCTTCTTCCCAACGTATAACCCAGTCGCAAATCCGCCAAAAGAAAGAATTTATAGAACCCGATCCGGGTTGGACCACCGTTCGGGGGAAAAAAAAATAATGTGTTTATTATTTCAGATCAAATATTAGCGTATTTTTATGTGAAATAACGAATAAGTGTTCAATTAAATAAGCAATTGTTGATTTCAGTCAAATCTATAAAATGCACTGTATCTATTTGCTCAGACGCTTTCGGAAGTTGATGATGACCAGAACAAAACTGACACTTTTCTATAACTGTGCCAGCGTTCTTAACATTCCTCTTCGCAGGCTTTAGTTTTTCTTGTATTTCCTCCCAAGAATTCATGCTGGTTTGCTCACCATCTTTTAATAGCAAGCTAACATCCACAATGGAAGCCATTTCGTCTTTATCGGCGGTTAAAGACATGTTAATCGCTGGATATAGAAAAAAAGCAAAGAATGATAAACCAACCAACACCAGCATAGGCAAAAGCACAGCAAAATATTTGTCAGGCAGATAAGATAATCCCAGCGATTTTGTGGGCATTAGCGCCCACAATACATACAGTACAAATAATGTTAACGTCAACAAATAGAAAGCGTAACCATATACCGCTCTATGGGGTGTTGGAGCTGGCGTGTGTTCCGGCATCCGCATCTAGTTCTGTATCAAACTCTTTGATGGTATCTGTACACAAAAGCAGCGCTTCAAAAAATGAATTGATAGCCGTTCTTAGGTTTTTAACTTGGCCTGCTTTGAAAATGACCTCAATGCAATCACCAATTAAACGTATGTCCTTTTGCACGAAATTGCGGCGTGGTTCTTGATCTACATTCAAGACGCGGTAAGCTATTTCAGCGTGTCTCTCAGAAGCGAAAGGTATTATTAATGTACTACAAAAAGTACAGAAAGATTAATTTAAAAAAAATACCAACAATGACGTGAACTTACGCTTCAGTATCTTTTGCAGCTTTCTCGGCATCGAGAGGCATTGTATATAGTCCAAACAACTCGATACTTTTACTTTTTTCATTAAATAAATACTTCTACTTGTGGAATTGAGCAAATCAGATGATTTACTGTGCTGCGTAAAAAAACTCAATTTGGTCACGATGCTCGTTGCGTCGACTTAATAAAGCTGTCGATTAGGATACTCTTAAAAAAAAAACAATCGAAAATGGTGTCAACATTTATTTTTCATGCATTTATCAATTAATTATACGGTATGTATATGTACGTGCAAGTAGCCAGTTTAATAATTAAATGTGTTTCAATAAAATATAACTTCAAATAAACTTTTCATTTAATAATGGCTATTCAATCTATTTTTAACATTTCAACTTCTAATTAGAATAATTTATACTTTGTGAGTAAATTTTTTAGATCATTAGAAACCTGCGTGAACTTATTTAAAAAATCTACAACAATTAGATTTCTATGTATATCATAGATCGAACCTCGATTTTTAACAGAAAACTAGGAACATATGATTAATTTTTTCTTCTTTTTGTTCTTGGTAAAGCATTGCCGTTATGAAAACAGCACCTGGTACCTCATTTTGTAAAGCTTGTACAGGAAAAAAAGCAGCTAACGATTTTTAGCGAAAAATCAAAGCCTTTTTTAGAAATGGACAAAGAACTTCTAACAAAAAATGAAACAAGTGAAAAACTGCCCAAAAATTCGAAAAATTTCTTTAAAAATATAGAAAAAAAAACAAACAAATTATTGTGTATTTGGAAAGTTCAATAAATAGAACAAATTTGTAAAAAATTAAAAATGAGTACCTTTATTTTGTCCATTTAAAATTATTTGTATTTCATGTATTGGCAAGGAGACCCATCTGAGAATCATATGGTTTCCCTAGAAATCTCGTCTGGTTACTTCCTAGGTATTTTGTGTAATTGAAGAAACCATTTTTAGTCAATTTACAGATCAAAATAGGCATTCATATAAGCTTATAACGAACATGAATATGTTTTTAGTGATTTCTCAGTTTTAAACAAATCTTGACATGGCAAAAAATGTCGGGAACAAAGTTAGATCGTATGAGGTGTTTTGTAATTTCAGCATTGGTCGTTTACATAAACTAAATAATATAATTTCTTTCATTATTTTGGCATCCTGAATATATATACCAAACAAATTTTGCAGTTAGTGCAAACAGGGGGATATACCTTCAAAGCAATGTCAAATATATATTATTATGTTTTCTACGTTTTTATGAACGAGTCCTTTTAGACAGTTTTTCAATGAATCATGAAGAAACAGTTCGTTATCAATATTAAGAAAAATAACGTTGAGACATTGTAATAAGTATGTATTGTAAATTTTCTCATGGCGTATCAGGTACGAGACTACAACAAGTAAGTGCCGCCATATTAACTTGAAAATTTATCATTTCATTTATATGATATTCGCCATTGTTCCTTTTTCATGTATACATATGTATATTGAGAGGGCTAAAATTTGCCCGTAACCTGTTGCTGGGGTAGATCAGCGCCTCCAGGTTTTCACAAGAAATTTATTCAAAGTATTCTTTTGTATTTTCTTTATTCCGTATAATTAATTTCTCACGAATAGTTTTCTTTGTTCTAATTTTTTAAGCATCAATTCATTTTCTTAATTTAAGACCTAGCACTACCATCATTTTAACCGCACCAAGCGAACCGAGACGTCCTCTCGTTAACGCACCCCGCGACCAACTCCTTTCTCAAACTTAACTTCTAACTTTCCTAAACCTCGGCTTAAAACTAATTCTTCGTAACTAACTATTGTTTCTCTTTCCTCTAACATTTCTTTGCTTAATCCTAACCTACTCTACTTAATTTCTAGCTTACTCTAGCACCCCCCTCCAGAGACGGGGACCCTGTGAGGCCAAAACGAGGGACGACTTGTAGTATTTACTATATCATATACACAAATCCCCATTTGTTAGGTAGCTTATGAATGTAGGTTTTTCTGCACACTATGTGATAATGGACAAATGAAAAAAAAACACACACACACATATGCACACGTAGAGTTTTACAATGTATTGCTGCGTTTTTGTTTTACGTCCAATGGCGACTGAATATGAATATAAGAAGAAACAAATGCATAAATGAATGTAAGCAAATTTTTTATGCAGCTTAAGTCGATTGTTACTTGCATGTCAAACTTTAATAAGAAGAAAAATAAACAAAATATTTGTTTGGAATCTTTGCACAGTCATGAAATTCATTTAAATAAAGAAACTGAGATTGAAATATTTTCAAAATTCAAGGGAAAAGGAAATAATGATACCCTCCACCACTTGTGGTATAAGATATATATTAAGTTTATTAGAATATATCAAAAGAGAGAGAAACATCTCTTTATGACCTCATTCGATTCAGAATCACTTTCTGAGTCATTTCAATCTTAATCGTCTAAGATTTAAGCTTGTCGGTCCGTCTCGTTTCTGTGCGTTCAACCTAAAGATCGGAATTTTCGAAATATTTTGATAAAATTTGATCTAGTGACGCACTTTGGCGAAGGGACCTAACCTATTGAAAGTGATTCCGTTCGAAACACTTTTCCGAGCACTTCCCATAAGCCCAACTTTTATAATACCGATCAATGCAGAATCGCTTTCTAAGTCTATCCATCTGTCTATCCGTACGCCTGCCCATCCGTCTATCTGTCCATATGTCTGTCCCTCTGCACTTTTCTTTGTTTATATCTCCGCCTGTCTGTCTGTCTGTATCACTGTCTGATATATTTATGCTCAACTTGCAGATTCTAATTTTTTTTATTACATCGTAGTGTTTTGGCTGAAGATGTACGATTTAAACCGTACCATCTTTTTGGACCACTTACCATAAAACGCTTCTTAGCCGGTGTTCCGCTATATTGCTTTTAACTGTTTTGCAAGTAGCAAGATAGCTATTGGTATTATACACTTATAAGGTCTCTGAAGCTTTTTTCTGAATATACGCTTATTCTCAAAGCGGCACAATACATGCAAAACAAATGAGAACGAATA